CACCGCGCCGGACGCGTTCGTGAGCGAGGGGGGTGGCGGGATGGGCGATGGGGGGCGAGGAGTGGTTGAGATCGTATGAGTGATTGAGGTGGGATGTATGATTAAGATGGCTTGAGTGATGAGTGATTCAGTAGGGGTAAGTGATTGAGGTGGAATGTGTGATTAAGATGGCTTGAGTGATGAGCGAATCAGGAGGGATGAGCGATTGAGGTGGGATGAGTGATTCAAATGATTTAAGTTATTGAGGTGGAAAGAATAACTGAGATGGGATGAACGATTGAGGAGAGTTGAGCAATCGAGTTGGAATGAGTTATAAGCGTTTTTCGAGGTATGAGCGATTAAGGAGAAATTAGCCATTTAGGGATGAATTAGTAATGAATGAGTGTGATGTGCGAATCAAAGAATCAAAGTTACATGTGAGACATGGATTATCAGTCAGACGTATATTTCCGTGTTATCGTCACCCTTCAAGCCAATTGTACCATATATTAGTTCTCAGATCTCTATAAAATAGTTAAATTGTGACGAATATAATGTTTGATTCCATATCTCAGTCGGTAGATGATGAGTCTGGATAACGGAAGGTATCAGGCTTGGATTTGTTTTCGATCAAATTTTGGCACTTCGTGACAAACTATTTCTCAATATGAGCTCAGGACATGTAGAGAGAAACACATAGTTGAAAGAAAATTATTTTACAAGCAATATTCACATCTAGTTTGATATCAAATTAAATTTCCAGGTGTTTCGATCTACCTAACTTATTCACGCTTATTACATTTGAAGCGAACTTTCTCTTTGACTTGACAAATTCTATTTGTCAAGTTTATCGTGGATGCGAAAGTGTCTGTTGGGCATCAGACTGGGGATGTTTGAATAAATTCAGACTACTTTGAAAAATTCATTATTTTTTCAATAAATATAATAAAAACAATGATTGTACAGATTTGTATACCTACGAGGCATATATAAAAGCAACCAAACGATTAAAAATAATGTAAGTCGCGGTGAATTGGATCAAATGAAGAAGCCCACAAAACGCTGTCCAACTTCCGTAAATAAAGTTAAGTTCTACTTTATTCCCCACTTCCTCACGAGATGAAAGTGGTAATTGATGGATAAGCTACTGCAATACAAAGAACTCAACTCCGTGTGACTTTTATATTGCTGTGACATCTTGAAAGAAAACTTTGTCTTTGTTCGCTAGGAGAAATCGATGAAGTTGCTGATCCAGTTACCGCTGACCGCTTTTCCCGCCAACTTTGAAATTGAACTTCTTTAAGGCGGAACTTCTTAAGTGAAGACAAAGGAACATCTGAAGAATACAAGTTTTCATGAGAATGAGAAACCTGCCACGACTTTGACCGTTTTCTCGCTATCCCGATATCGAAGACTGGTAGAAAATGCCACAAGACATGATGGCCGATGTCAATACTAACTCAAAGATCAGTTGACGGGGGATATATTGAGGCCTTTCGTTTTGTTTAGCTGGAACTTTCTTACAAGACTGTGATCGTGAAAAGACGTTCATAGCTTAACCTTGCAGTTCAGATAATTTCACGGATGTGTTCACTCACTGAGTTAAATATATTTATATGCACTTTTTACAGCCATTGGTTTGTATTTATGACATGGGAATAGTAATTATTATGTAAATATTACGTTTGACATTTAAATACGGTTGCCTGAATTAAATTAATTTATTACTATTTATTAAAATATTTAAACAAGGAAAATAGATTTAAGTATATTCATTTCCAGCTGATTCATTATGAGAAAGACTGCGAAAATAATTGTGGTAATTACATTTTCATTAGCATAACTTTTTCTCGTAACTTCATTAGAGGGATCCTGATTTGATCACAATTTAATGAACATAAATTAGTTTCAAATTCACATATCATTTAATTATTCGAAAGTATAATGATTGTGGAGTATTGTATAGTATTTTTAGAGGTGAATACTCATTGTTTTACCGTCACCCCAGCACAGACATTCGTTAAGTGCAAATAAATTACGCCGACTCTATTCTCGCTACTCAGGTTCTCCACATCATATTGATTATTATTTATATATTATGAATACTTGAGTTCATTAGAAGAGAAAATGTTGATAATAATGGCAGGGTAAATAACAATGGGTAAGTGATTAAATGGGAAGCAGGACCTCATCAAAAAAGTGTCAATACATTTATTGATGTTTCAGGGCACGTGAACATTTATTGTCATTTGTCCCTTTTTGTGTAGTGAATATTTTATCCCGGGAAGTGGCGGTCTCGTTCCCTCTACTGGATTATATCCGACACCGACCAACACGTCGGCTAGCAAGGATTTTCCTCTCCAGGTATCTTCCCCAAGCTTTAAGCTACCGGATAGCCTCCCGTCATGCGTGATAGTGTAGTGTAGGTGTTAATGCGTGTAACTAAGGGATGAGGATAGGACAAGAGAAAGGAAAGATAGCACGCGGTCCGTGTCCCGTTCGTTAGTGAACTGCATCGGCATTCGCCTGGCCTTTAGTAAAATACTCCTCCAGACCGTGGTTGAATTCGACCTAGCTATGTAGCTAGTGTCGAAAATCCGCCTCCATCGGGACTCGAAGCCTAAGACCTCTCGGTCAAAGTCGCCGCAGAATCAGCGGAATCAGCAAATTCATATCTCTTTGAGTAAACGCAGCCAGTTAAACTAAACCAGTGCCAGCTTGAGACAATTTGCATCTGGACTTTGACCATCTATATTAAAAGGACACCCAATGGTTTTTTCCTTCCTAGGGATTTTTCCATTTGCAGGGGATGCCAATATCGGGTCTCCGAGCCGGGTACCCACCATGAACATCTTGGGGACACATATTAACAATTACAGACTTATTAGACGAGACTTATTAGACTTACAAATTATTAGACGAAAGCATGTCTTTCCTATGTCCCATGATAAAACTGGAGAGAATTGCTGTTAAGTGGGATGTCTATGAAAGGTCCTGGCGGATTGCACATTGTAGAAGGGACAATGAAAAATTCTTGAAAAGGAACGTTTCCCCCAATTCGAGTGGTTTCTTAATGAAGATGGCATTTCTATGTATAATGAAGCACAGTGCCACAAAGACAAGAATTTGGAAAAAAGGATTTTAAAGTGTTCACATTGCCACGGAATAGCTCTGATTTGAACTCCATAGAACAGTTATGGGGTATTATCTAGAAAATAATAAGGAAATATACAAAAGGTCATGGACAAACTAGAGGATATTTGGTACCGCAGCGATAAAATTAAAAATTCGGGTGAAAATTTGATAAACTTAAGCCAAACAGGGTAAGTTGTTGATTAAGAACAAAGGCACGAACACTAACAGTAAGCATTACATTTATGACTGTAACATATACACGAATGTAATGCGGACTCCTCGGTCTATGGTCAGCAGACTCATAAGGCCTTCCGCGAAAACACACATACATGAAAAACATGGGGCAAACAACCATGCCCACGGCGGGACTGGAGTCCACAACCCTTCAAACCGAGGCGCTTAGTGGGCACATGCTCTAGCCCCCTCGGTCATCCAGGTCGGCATTACAAGGATAACTCTGCAGGTACCAGCTGTTCACGGTTTCATCCAATCGGGAGCTTCAACGTCACCATAGTGACCAAGCTTCCGATTGAAACCGTGAACAGCTGATACCTGCCAGGGAGCTGCATGAATCGCAGTGTAGCGACCGCGTTGTCGCAAAGGCACTGACCG